TTGGTTGTAAGGAGGTTGTTGTTGTGGGTACATTGGGTTTTGGTACATTGGAGGGGGTTGGTAATTAGGTTGATTTGGGTAATGTACTTGTTGAACTTGAAAAGCATTGTTTTGAGGTTGGTTGTTTTGGTGGAAGTGTTGGTTTTGTAGTTGTGGTGGTGGTTGATAATTGGGTTGGTTTTGAGGAGGGGCTTGATTCCAAGGTGGCATATCATGAGAGGTTCTTGTGGTTGTTGTCTTGGTTGATGGGGTGGGGTATTGGCATCTTGGTTGATTGGGTTTGGGTTGGGATTATGAGGTGGAGTGTGATTCATGGCTATGTGGTTTTCAAATGGAATGTCTTCAAAGGAATGACCAACAATTGGAGAACTCGGTTCGGTGTCGGTATCACTTGAAGTATGAACTTGATCTTCTATGTTGATTAGTGGAGAAGAGGAAGAAGCTTGAACTAGTTGTTGTTGCTTTGCTTGTTTGGCTAACTTTTTCAACCTTTTTGCTTCTCTTTCAATTTCCGGATTGTAGAGTAGTTCACCGGTTCTTGTAGACCTAGGCATAAACAATCAAATAACAAAAACCAATTTCCCCGGCAACGGCGCCAAAACTTGGTCGGGATGTCAAGCCCACCAAGCAAATTACACCCTTTGATTGCTAAATAAACGTAATATAATGGTAAAAAGGGGTATCGATCCTCGGGGAAATGGTTGTATTCAATCACCAATGCAATTCAATAGAACTAGTGAAATTAAACTAACTAACTACAATTAAAATAAAAGGGGGGTGTTTGATTACTTGAAAACTAAAATACTTGAATAACTAAAAACCTTGCAATTAAGCAAGTTGATGAGATGCTCAAAGATTGTGAATAATTGGTTAACTAAGGCAATTCAACACAATGAACATTTGTGTGTTTATCATTAGGATCTAATACAAAGCTTATCCTTCATCCCAAATTGGTTATAGCAATCATGAAGCATGATATGCCAAGATTCCTCATAGGTAGTATGGAGGTTGGGGAAGCCCACAACACACCTTCTTAATTAAGATCAAGGGTCAATTGAAGCAATTAATCCCAAGAAATCAATTAGCCTTAAGAATGAAGGAATCCCCAATTCCTAGAGGATGTCAAATGCTTACACATCCATAAAGGAGATATGATTCATAAGCTAGAGATGATTTCTACCATCATAAAGCCTTTGTTCTAGATAAATTCAATGATCCAATGCAAAATCAATGAAATAAATCAACTATTGCTCAATCAAATACTAAGCTCATGATCAAAGTATCAAATAAGCATAAGAATTGCAAACTAGAATCATAAACATGGAATAAATTGATAATCAACATAAATCCTTCAAAACCCACAAACATTCATTGGTTTTCAGCCAAAGTCAACCAAATAAGAGTATTAGCCACTCATGGCAACAAAGTAACAAGAACAATAATCTAATTGCATAAAGAAACTACCTAAGATTTGGAAAGATGAAAGGAAATGATTCTAGCTCCCAAAATCGCCTCTTGCAGGTCTCCAATGGTGGAAAATCGTGAATGAGCTCTAGATCTGATCCCCAAGGGTTATGGCAAGCCAAATGACCAAAATGCCCAAACTGGGCAGTTGCGCGGGTACCCGCGCGACGGAAATTCCACCCGCGCAAATGTTGCTGTAATGCTATTGGTCCACCAAGCCACTCCACCCTTCCACTACCAAAGATTCCTTTGGTCCCCCCTCCTTGTCCATGTAATTTGAAATGCACCAATCATCATTTAGCCACCAAATGGATGCTCCAAGCCCAAAATTTGAATTTTATGATCCATCTTCACAAGCCCAAATAATCCAAGTCAATAACTTTCAAAGCCCAATTCTTCCTCTTTGATTCCGCCAAGCCCAATAATGCCTCGGGAGCCCACTAAGCCCGTCTCCAATCAACCCGCAACCGCAACAAGCACCGAAAAACCTACAAAATATCTCATGCAACATAACAAGCACCCGGTACGATCCATACTAAAGAAAAATAAACAAAATACAATGCATTAATGATAAAAAGATTTAAAAAATCTAAAATAAACTAATAAAAATAAGGAAATAAAATAAGCTATCAAATCACCCCAAGCTTAAACCGAACAAGACTAAAAATGAGCTCGGGATGAACTATCTAAAAAAAAAAAAAAAAAAAAAAAAAAAAAAAAGATACCATAGAACTTGGTCAACATCAGTCAACATGGTCATAATTAGTCCTTCATGGACCTTACGCATCTTTAAAATGTTCCCCGCTTTAGAGCCATAAACCACATTCTCAACCACTTGATGGGCGAATAGATCACGGTTGGATGCGGTCGCGGTGTGCAAGACAAAGAAAACAGAGATGCGCCCAGTGGGGGCACTTTAAATCACCAATGTAGACCATAGTGCATGAAGGAAAGGCACCTCTTCACACACTATGATTCCTACATTTGTCAGGCCAAAGTGTATAATAACGAAATAGGGTTTTGTAGCACGGCCTCCGGGCAAACATCCGATTTCAGAGGCTTCTCCCTTGTACTATCCTTTACAATCTACCGTCTCATCGCCGGGGCCTTTTCTCACCAAAAATCAAAAAATAAAATAAAATAATAAAAACTATACTTAACCTAAATCTAAACCTAACAACCTAAATCTTCAATCTTGAACTTCTGTTATTGGGTCTTCAATCACATTTGCTGCTTGACATCCAGTTTTTTTTTCTTTGTTTTTGTTGCTTTTCTTGAATCATCTTTAATAGGCTCTTATTTTCTTCACTTTTTTCAAATTTCTTCATTCTTTGTGTTGCTTCTTAGAAGGTCTAAGGAATTTCACCAAGTAACATAGGACTCCAATAGTGAAAATTGAGTGATAGATAGAGATTAATATGAACACCTAATGATCATTGACAATGTGCCAAGATCAACTAAAAAGGGCGGGAAATGACTCAAAAATGGGTGTTACCGAAAAGACTTGGTCCCAAAAGATGTGAATTGGGGGACCCATTTCAAAGTTCATCAAGCACCTCAATGCAAGGTGTGATAAATAAAATCTATCTAACTATTTACTCTAGACCCCTAGAAAAATGATAGCCTATCCTAAAAAGGCGGTGAGAATCTAACTAAACAAGGCTCGGACGAGACTCGGGAGTACTAAGGGGTACTCCCTCCAAAACCAAGATGCGAGTCTTCAATATCTTCAATGTCTTCAAAATACCTTACCGGGCTAGTCTTTGCTCGCACACATTGGCATGACCAACCACATCCCTCCGCACCTAGACCCAATCAAGCTACCTGCATCTGACCCCCACACAAGCGGTCTCAAAGTGGTATGTGAGGCTCAAAACGTGCCCCATTCATCAAATACAAGGAATTCCATATCAAGACCCAGGACCAATCTATGATTCAATACTTATAACTTGGTGCTATGGTACCTGTGGGATGAGAAGACAAGAGAGAACAAAAATGCATGAACTTAAACTAGAATGCATCTAAAAAGTATGAAAATTAGAAAAGAAAGAAAGAAAATATGCAATATTTTTGAATTTATTATGCAATTTTTATGAATGCCCTAAATGACTAACTCTAAATGCAACTATATACAACCTAAATGCAATAAAAATAAAAGATTAGATTAAATGTACTGTTATAAGAATATCTCTAGTACACCGAGTAACCGATTATTCTTGAAGAACCAAAGAAGAATTTTAGCTTCTTGGCGTTTTCAGTTTCTATAGATGATTTTATTCCGTAAAATTTTCATTTTTATCATTTAAGTAAGTCACAATATGTTCCTACAAATGGGTCATTCCCAAAAGTCAATCTGGGAAGGTATTGTTCTTGATTATGACTGGAAATCACTTGCTCCTCATAAGTGGAAGCGTGCCTGGAAAAATCATTGGGAATTTGATGTTTTGCCTCTCGAATATACTAGTGTAGACTATGTAGTATGGTTTATTGAACCATTTTATTACCAAAAATGACTGATAAAGTAATGTAATTCTGATACAATATATATTCTTTGGATGATTTTGTAGTATTTTGATAATTCTTTATTTTCATCTTTTATTTTTCAGTTGTGAGTTGGTCTGAATTCCACTTTGAACACCATTTTAGGTTTGTTTTCATAAATATCTGATAGCAGCTCAAGTACAAGAAACTAAAAATCTCCATCATCTAAAGGATCAACATGTTTGAACATTTTCTATGAACTTTAACATTCCCTCCAAAAACTTTCTATTTGACTTGTGGGTGATACTTTGTTTCTAATAGTTGCAATAGATGACACATCCATTGATTAATGCATCAAGGCTCTCAAGACTCAAGAAGACAAGAACTCACTTTCTTAAGACAGTCATAGGCAAAGCAAGTATTTCCATTAGTCCAGAATCATGTCTAAGATAAAATATGAATTAGGTTCCCAAATTTTTGGTTCGTTTATATCACCCAAACTGGTTGAGCCGTCCCTGTCTCTCCCTTAACTTTAGTTGGATCTCTCAAATGTATTTTCTCTCACTCATTGGGACCTAGTATTTTCTTATTCTTTATACTCCTTAATAATTTTTGTACTTCAATCTCTTTTCAAGAGAAAAAAACATCACCGTCCCGATGAATAATATTGCATCGACATGATATTGATTACATTGTAGAGTAAAATTGAAAACGATAACTACAATAATAATTATGATTTTATAATTAATGCTAAAAATATATATACTTTAATGCTAAGATATATAACTAATAGTTTAATACTTTGGTTACCGTCTTTTTCAAACCAAATTTCCAGTAACATCAATATCAATGTAGTTAATTAGATGATGCCAAACATAAAATGCAATTCGTAGTGGTCACACACATTCTAGAACAATCAGCTTTAGTAGGCTGGGCGGCTGGGCCACATGAGATCATGCTACCATAGTTATCATCTAATGTTTTCATGTTTTTGTTTTACGTAACTTGTCTTTTTTCTATTTTCTTTTTTGAAAACTTCAAAGCAAAAAAGACATATGGCGTACGCACTTACCGATGTTCTCATGGTATTTGTCGTAGAAGTGGTGCATATCAGCATATGCTTTAGTAGTTTCAGAAAGAACCACCAAATTAAAGGCAACATCATATCTGAAACAGCAATGGCTGCCCCTTCCACCGACGTCCTTCACTTCGTCTTGCTTCCACTGATGGCTCAGGGCCATATGATACCCATGGTGGACATCGCCAGGATACTAGCCCAAACCGGAACAACTGTTACCATAATCACAACTCCTGTTAACGCAAACCGTTTCAAATCAGTCATTGATCGTGCAATCGAAGCTGAGCTCAATATCCAAATGCTTGAACTCCAATTCCCATTCGTTGAATCTGGTTTGCCTGAAGGATGCGAGACTTTTGACATGCTTCCATCAGCTGCGCATATAGTCAATATGTTGAAAGCTATGAAGATGTTCGAAGAACCATTTGAGAGGATGCTTCAGGTTCTATGTCCTCCTCCAAGTTGCATCATCTCCGATGGTGCTTTTCCTTGGACTGCCGATGTGGCAAAGAGACTAAATATCCCGAGGCTTGTCTTCTATGGGCCAGGATGCTTTCCTTTCCTGTGCATTCACATACTGAACAAAACTAATATACTAGACGAAATTAAATCCAACTCCGAGTACTTTGCGCTGCCCGACGTGCCCGACCATATTGAAGTTACCAAACCTCAGGCTTCTGGCTGGGGAAAGGGAAACAGAAAAGAAACCAAAGAGGTGTTTGAACAAACACAAGAAGCTGAGAAAGCTACATTCGGAATTGTGGTTAACAGCTTTGAGGAGTTGGAGCCCATGTATGTTGAAGCGTTTGAAAAGGCAAAAGATACAAAGGTGTGGTGTATAGGCCCGGTGTCGTTATGCAACAAAAGTTTTCAAGATCTATCGGAGAGAGGAAACAAGGTTGTGAGAAGCGAGCATGATTGCATGAAATGGTTGGATTCAAGGGAAGTAAAGTCGGTAGTCTATGTTTGCTTGGGAAGTCTATCGCATGCATCAACAGAACAAGCCATTGAGCTCGCTTTGGGATTGGAGTTATCTGGCATACCCTTTATTTGGTTCATTAGGCAAACACGTGAAGAATTTGAGAAATGGCTCTTAGAAGAACGATATGAAGAAAGGATAAAAGATAGAGGCTTAATGGTTCGTGGTTGGGCACCTCAAATCTTGATATTGTCACACCAAGCGATTGGGGGTTTCATAACACATTGTGGTTGGAACTCGACTCTAGAAGGGATTTGTGCTGGGATTCCAATGGTTACATGGCCACATTTCGCAGAGCAATTTTTAAATGAAAGGTTTATCGTAGATGTATTGAAAATTGGAGTCAAAATTGGTGCAGAGGTTCCAATCACATTCATAGAGAAAGATACGCTTGAAGTGATGGTGAAGAGGAAAGCCATCAAGACTGCTGTGGAAGTTTTGATGAACGAGCAAGAGGAAGGAGAAGCAAGAAGAAGGAGAGCTAGAGAGGTAGGGGAAATGGCAAAGAAAGCAATGGAGGAAGGGGGTTCTTCTTACCTTAACATAAAGTTGATGATTCAAGCTATTGCCGAAGAAGTAGCCAAGAACAATAAACCTATTCAAGATATTGTGTAGCCATTGTAACTTGTACACCATGCATGATTTTTAAAGACAAAACATACAGAACTTTCCTTTCACGTTAGTGTGCAAGTACGCTTTATTTTGTGTGTAATGTTTTAAATTACATAGAATTCAAGATAGGGTATTTGATTTAATGTTATGTCGCAATTATTAGGACTATTTATATAAATTGTTGTGCCGTATTTTTGTGTCACTTGCAGCTAAGTCAAAGAGCCAAATAAGAAATAAATAAAAGTCAAAAAGATCTTTGACCTTATGCATTTAAATGAGATAAATGAGAGTGTAGTTTTTTTTTTTTTTTACAAAATTGCAAAAATAATTCGTATGGTATATATTATTTCTAAGGTTTAGTACAAACCTTGATTTTTTTTGGCTTTTTGATCTTTTTACCATCTTTGTGTGTGAATTTGATCCCTTTCCAAATCAAAATGACTAAATTATCATTTATAAGTCGTGAGTGAAATTGAAGCCGTAAGTTATAAGGAGACTAGGCTGGCCTTTCCACGGTTTATAGTTTGAGGAGTAAAGTTTAATGTTGTAAATGAACGAAACGCTCGGTAAACCGTTTGTGAACTGTTCGGCGGAAAGTTCGTTTATATTCGTTTATTTAATAAATAAATGAATATGAATACAAGTTATAGTTCGTTTAGTTAAACGAACAAACATGAACAATGATGTCGTTCGTTAGTTTATATTCATGAATTTTCGTTTATGTTGTTTGTTTATGTTCGTTCGTTTAAGTTTATTTCTATTCAAAATTGCTCAATTTTTTATCAAATTGTTATATAATATATTTGTTCATGTTCATATATGTTCAATTGTGTTTGTTTATCTTTGTTTGTTTGTTTATGTGCGTTTAGCATGTTCACGAACATAAATAAAAAAACCCATTCGTTTATCTGTTCGTGTTTGTTCGTTTTTCCAACTAACTTAAACAAATAAACATAAACAAGCATTTGTTCGTGTTCATTTTGATTCGTTTAGAGAGAATGTTGGAAAGTGTGAGGGTAGATTCAAGGGAACTTGAGTAAACTAACCGTTATAAATAAGGTTTTCAAAAGAAAACAAAATAGTTTTTGAAAAATAATCATTTTCTCTTAAATGCCTAACTCTAGAATAGTGTTTATATCCCGGAGTTAATATATATATATATATATATATATATATATAATATATATATATATATATATATATATATATATATATATATATTAACAATCTATTATGATGTGGATGTAATGTTGACTATAGATCAATCATTTTAATTATTTTAAAAAGGTAATTAATAAATATTATTGAATTAAAAATAACTAAAAAATATCATCTAATTTAACCATAAAAATATTTTAGTCAATATAAATTTGAAAAGATTAAAGAGTAAATTACACGAATGGTCCTTATGGTTTAGGGTAATTTCTGCATTTGATCCATAACTTATTTTTTTAATTCGGAATGTCCTTACTTTTTGTTTGTGTTACATGTTTGGTCTATGTCTTACATAAAAAGATTTTTTCCTTGATTTTTTAATTTATTTAAACAAACATACCCCTAATCTCACCTCCCTCACCTTACCGTATCTATACCATCATTTTTTTCCTATTTAAATAATAGTCTTTTTAGGTAAGACAGTGAGCAAACGCGTAACGGAAACAAACGGTAGAGACCAAGCACGTAACAAAATCAAATTGTAAGGACCTTCCAAATTAAAAAAATAAGTTAGGGACCAAACGCGTAAATTAATCAAAACCACATGGACCATTTGTGTAATTTACTCAAAAGAAAATTCCAAATTTTTGTGATAATCAATTCTCTTGATTTAAAAATTCTTATTTTTTTAATTAATTCACTTTTAATTCTAACGTAATTTTTAATTATATCCGAGTTTATTCCGGCAAAATGACACAAAGATCAACCATAGACTAGTAAAGATATATTCAATCATATTCTTACAGAATATGGTTATATTCAAGATATAATATGAATGTTATATGAAACGGATTTTTTTATTTAAGAATTAGTAATTACACTAATTTTTAAAGAATCTGATTATAATCAATAATGGTTAACAATTACATTTATTCTTAAAGTTTAAAAATTAAAAATGGTTTTTATAAAATCTAACAAAAACAGAAATATATTCTAAAAGAATATTATTGCTAAGAATCGTTTTATGTTTTATATATTAGGGAAGAACACATTCTGCTAGAATACATTCCACATTTTGTTAAAATACACGATCGTTCTCAATGTATTCTTTACTTTTCACATCAACGAATACATCACCTCCCCTCCGCCACCAACCACCACCATCGTCGCCACCAACTACCACCGCCATCTCCACCACCACCACCACTACCAACAACCACCTCTACCAGCACCCGTCGCTGCCATATTAATATATGAATAATCATTTCCGCTATACTTAGGACGTGTTTGGCACGGAGCTTGTGGAAGCATTTGGGAGCTTCTAGCTTTTTGCTTTTGATAAAACGTTCTAGTTTAAACAAAAAGCTCCGTTTGGCAGTACAAACGTTTAGCTTTTAGTTTTAACAAAACGTTCCGATTCTAAAACCTACTTCATGTAGCGTTTAACAAAACGCTCCTAAGCTTTTGAAATCAATTTTCATAATTACCCTTAAAAATATATTTATATATTTATTTATTTTTACTCAATTGTTCTTTTATGTGAATTTATATATTTCAAAAGCTTCCATCTATTTTTGCCAAACATTCATATAATAAATAAAAGTTACAGCTTCCCACTACTAGCTACCTGTTACACGCTACCAACTACCCGCTACCAGCTAATCGCTACCCACTTCTGGCTAACAGTTAATTTTACCAAACACGCCCTTATTCATATATGAATATATGTATTCATATGTATTTATAAATGAATATGATATGTTCCATCGGCTCGATACGCTAGAACATTTAAGCGGTAGATTAATGAGTGGTCCAGATTCATTCTCTCGTTCTCAACTTTTTTTTATCAATTGAACCACACACACACACACACACACACACACATATATATATATATATATATATATATATATATATATATATATAAAGTCAAAAGAATTGTTTATTTTATTTTGGGATTCCAAATATTACATTTTCAAATGTTTAATATCATCGTTTTTTTTTAAATATATCTAATTTCATGCAATAATATCGTATATAATTTTTGGATATTATGTCTAATATTATTATTTTTTTGAACTTTTCATTAAATTTAAGTAAAAAACAAATTTTTTTTCTCAAAATTCTGGAATTATTTTCATATTACAAACTTGTTCTTGAAATTTCGGATTTTTTTTTTTCGAAATCCAAAATTTTAATCTGGAATCCGGAATGTTGGTTCAAATTCAAAAATATCCGTTTAGAATTAGTCAAAAAAATCTTAGTTCTGAATACCCATTCCAGACAAAATTGTTATTTTTGCAAAATAAATAAATAAAATCCAAGTTTTTTTTTTTTAAAATACACGTTAAAAAGGTTAGATTATTTGGTCTCTCCTGGTCTATAAGGCAAAGAAGAGATTAACAAAAGCAGTTAGTTAAAATATATAGATTACATAGTACAATAAAATTGAAAAGATATGATTTTATATTTAATGCTAAGATATATTTTCTAATGCTGATACATTGGTTAGCGTCTTTTTTAAACCAAAATTTCGAATCGCATCAATGTAGTTAGATGAAGCCAAACATAAAATGCAATTTGTAGTGACCACATCTTCTAGAACTATCAGCTTTAGGCTGTGGCTGACCACACGAGATCATGCTACCATAGTTATCATCTAATATTTTAATGTTTTCGTTAATTTACGTAAGTCGACTTTTTTTTTTATTCTTTTTTGTTTTTTAATATTACAAAGCGACACATGATACGCACTTAATTACCAATGTTGTCATGGTATTCGTAGAAGTGGTGCACATGCTTCAGTAGTTTCAGAAAGAATCACCAAAGGCAACATCAAAACAGCAATGGCTTCCCCTTCCACCGACCTTCACTTCGTCTTGCTTCCATTGATGGCTCAGGGCCATATGATTCCCATGGTGGACATCGCCAGGATACTAGCCCAAACCGGAACAACTGTTACCATAATCACAACTCCTGTAAATGCAAACCGTTTTAATTCAGTCATTGATCGAGCAATCGAAGGTCAACTCAACATCAAAATCCTCGAAGTCCAATTCCCATTCGTTGAATCCGGTTTGCCTGAAGGATGCGAGAGTTTTGACTTAATTCCATCAGCTGCGTATATAGTCAACATGTTCACAGCTATGAAGAAGTTAGAAGAACCAATGGAGAAGATGATTCAGGTTTTATATCCACCTCCAACTTGCATCATCTCAGATGGTGGTTTTCCTTGGTCTACTAATCTCGCAAAGAGATTAAATATCCCTAGACTTGTTTTCTATGGACCTGGATGCTTTGCTTTCTTGTGCATTCACATAGTGAACAATACTAATATACTAAACGAAATCGACTCCAACTCAGAGTACATTGAAATACCCGGGCTTCCTGATCGGATTGAAATTACCAAACCTCAGGCTTCAGGTTGGGGAAAGGGAAACACAAAAGAAACCAAGGAGTCGTTTGAACAAACACAAGAAGCCGAGAAAGATGCATATGGGATTGTGGTTAATAGCTTTGAGGAGTTGGAGCCAAAGTATGTTGAAGAGTTCGCAAAGGCAAAAGGTAAAAAAGTGTGGTGTATAGGCCCTGTCTCTCTATGCAACAAAAGTGTCCAAGATATAGCCGAAAGAGGAAACAAAGGAGTTAAAAACGAGCATGATTGCATGAAATGGTTGGATTTACAAGAGCCAAAGTCTGTAGTTTACGTTTGCTTGGGAAGTCTATCGTATGCTACCACAGAACAAGCCATTGAGCTTGCTTTGGGATTGGAGTTATCTGGCATACCCTTTATTTGGTTCATTAGGCAAACACGTGAAGAGTTTGAGAAATGGCTTTCAGAAGAACGATATGAAGAAAGGATAAAAGGTAGAGGCTTAATGGTTCGTGGTTGGGCTCCTCAAATCTTGATATTGTCACATCAAGGGATTGGGGGTTTCATAACACATTGTGGTTGGAACTCGACTCTAGAAGGGATTTGTGCTGGGATTCCAATGGTTACATGGCCACATTTCGCAGAGCAATTTCTAAATGAAAGGTTTATCGTAGATGTTGTAAAAATTGGAGTCAAAATTGGTGCAGAGTTTCCACTTATGTATAAAGAGAAAGATAAGTTTGAAGTGGTAAAGAAGGAAGACATCATGACTGCTGTGGAAGTTTTGATGAATGAGCAAGAGGAAGGAGAAGCAAGAAGAAGGAGAGCTAGAGAGGTAGGGGAAATGGCAAAGAAAGCAATGGAAGAAGGGGGTTCTTCTTACCTTAACATAAAGTTGATGATTCAAGCTATTTCCGAAGAAGTAGCTAAGAACAATAACCCAATTCAAGATATTGTGTAGCCATTTTAAGCACTACGTACACCGTGCACGATTTTTCAAGACTAAACATTGTACGAGTATGTTTTATTTGAATAATTAAATTGAAATTTACTTTGATTATTTCGATGCCTAGAGTTATAATGCTATTTTTATTTTATTATTCAACCGACTACCCCAAAAAATGTATCACTATATAACAAGTGATAAAAGTTTTAGTTTCAAGATTCCTCAAAAAGATGCATTAATAGCATCCAAATGGACCAAATCTAAAGGTGGTATATAGATACTGCCGAACACATAAAGATGCTGATAATGTCAATGTCATGGCTGCTTACGTACGTTATTTCAGTCACATCATTAGAGGTAGATTCTGCCGAATATAAGTGCCGAACATAAGATGTGATATTGTAAAATCCAATTTTTTTTTTTTTTTTTTTTTGGCTCTCATGCTACCATAGTTACCATCTAATTTCATTTATCATTTCAATGTTGGTTTTCGAAAAGTACAAAACAAAAAGACACATTGTAACAACTTGTTCATCTTCGCATGCTATTTAATTTCTAGAGTTCGTGAAGAGTAGTTTCACATACACCCACTTACATCGATCAAATTCCAAAACTCCAATGGCTTCCCTTCACATAGTCTTATTTCCATTAATGGCTCAAGGTCATCTCATACCAATGGTAGACATAGCAAGGATCCTAGCCCAACATGGTGCTATGGTCACCATAATCACAACTCCAATCAATGCAAACCGTTTTAAATCCATCACAAATCGTGCAATCGAAGCTAAACTCAACATCCAAGTTCTCGAACTCCAACTACCATTATCGGAAGTCGGTTTACCCGAAGGATGTGAGAATTTTGACTTGCTCCCAACAGCAGCACAAGCGATCAACATGTTCACAGCAATGGTGTTGCTAGAACAACCCGCGGAAAAGATGCTCCGTGGGTTATACCCGCCTCCAAATTGCATCATCTCAGATGGTGGTTTTCCATGGACTATGGATATTGCAAAAAGGTTGAATATTCCTAGGTTTGTATTCTATGGGCCCGGATGTTTCGCGTTTTTGTGTATACACATTGTGACAAATACTAATATACTAAACGAAATTGACTCCAACTCGGAGTACTTTGTAATGCCTGGGCTTCCTGATAGGATTGAAGTTACTAAACCTCAGGCTTCAACGTGGGGAAAAGGAGATTGTGAAGAAACAACCGAGAACTTTGAAAGACTGATGGAAGCCGAGAAAAGTTCAAGTGGGATTGTGGTTAATACGTTTGAGGAATTGGAGCCCAAGTACGTTGAAGAGTTTGCGAAAGTGAAAGGTAAGAAAGTTTGGTGTATAGGTCCAGTTTCATTATGTAACAAAAGTTTACAAGATATATCAGAGAGAGGAAACAAATCCGCGATTCATGAACAAGATTGTTTGAAATGGTTGGATTTGCGGGATCCACAGTCTGTAGTGTACGTATGCTTGGGAAGTCTATCGTATGCTTCTACACAACAATTGATTGAGCTAGGGTTAGCTTTGGAGTTATCAAATAAACCTTTTATTTGGTTTGTTAGGAACGCAACTGAAGAATTTGAGAAATGGATTTCAGAAGAGGGATTCAAAGAAAGGGTTAAAGACAGAGGATTGATGATCCATGGTTGGGCACCACAAATGTTGATTCTGTCACATCGAGCGATTGGGGGTTTTGTGACGCATTGTGGGTGGAATTCGACTCTTGAAGGGATTTCTGCTGGGGTTCCAATGGTTACTTGGCCACATTTTGGAGACCAGTTTTTGAATGAAAGATTTGTGATAGATGTGTTGAGAATTGGTGTGAGGATTGGTGTGGAGGTTCCTGTTGTGTTCTATGAGCAAGATAAAGCGGACAAATTGTTGTTGACGAGGGAAGAGATTAGGGCAGCTGTTGAAGGTTTAATGGATGGTGGAGAGGAAGGAGAAGCGAGAAGAAAGAGAGCGAGGAAGCTTGGGGAAATGGCGAAGAGGGCAATGGAAGAAGGGGGTTCGTCTCATCTCAACATGACATTGATGATTCAAGCTATTACAGAAGAAGTAGCTAAGAAGACTATAGTGTAGCTATGTGCTTTATTTCGTTGTGTGGGTTATATATACAACTTGTATGCTTTGTTTTCTCCTTTTACCTCGTGAAAAACTTGGTGACTTTCAAAAACTTTTCTTACACACCCAGTTCAGAAAATGCATTAATACCTACGTTGTTGAACCTCAAGAATAATGTAATCTTACTGAGTACTTTTATCGAACGCCTTGTGTGCAATCTTTCAAACTCCACCTAAACACAAGATTTCCGTGTGGGTGAACCAAGTTTTCAATACAATTCGCTGAAACAAAAACGAATTTGATTGTAGTAATTATCTAGATTCGAAATTGATAAAGAAGAGAAAGAAAACGGAGGATGTCTTTGATTGCCTTTTTTTTTTTTTCTTTTCCTTAAATAAAACCGATTAAAATAATATATTATTATTTTCTTATTTATGATATAAAGCTCGTATTGCTTTTCCTTTTTAAGTCCCCTAAAAGGTGTTTTTAACCAACTATATTGTTTTTGATAAAAGTATAGTATTTATTAGTTTATTTAATCAAATAAATATTTTTCAATAAAAGTGATTAGCTTATGTTGCGACAAAAGAAAAAATTAAAAATGTTTGGATTATTTTATATATAAAATGATTAAATGGAAAAAATAAAACCTTTTCAACTTTTTATAACGTGTCAATGTAGTATGAAAAAGAAATAATAATAATGTGACAACTTAAAGATGTCCTTACAATGCATTAATCCCAATATCTTGAATTGGCTTAGCGTTATTGCCTAATTCTTTGAAAATATCTTGAATCATCAACGTCATGTTGATGTGAGACGAACCCCCTTCCTCCATAGCTCTCTTCGCCATTTCCCCAAGCTCTCTAGCTCTCTTTCGTCTTCCTTCTCCTTCCTCTTCTTTCTCCATTACGCTTTCCACTGATTTCTTGATGTCTTCTTTATTAATCAAAACCCCAAACTTGTCTTGTTCTCCCGCTATAACCGGAAACTCCATGCCAATTTTCACACCAATCTTCAAGACATCCACCATAAATCTTTCGTTAAGAAACTGGTCAGCAAAATGTGGCCATGTAACCATAGGGACCCCAGCCGTAACACCTTCAAGAGTTGAGTTCCATCCACAATGTGTTAAGAAACCTCCAACTGCTCCATGTGATAAAATCAACACTTGTGGTGCCCATCCACGAAAGATAAGGCCTCTATCTTTCACTCTTTCTTCATATCCTTCTTCTAAGAACCATCTCTCGAGTTCTTCTGTTGCATGTCTCACACACCAAACAAAGGGTATGTTCGATGACTCCAATCCTAAAGCAAGCTCAATGTTTTGTTCAGTACAAGTACGTGATATACTTCCCAAACAAACAAAGATTACGGAACTTTTCTCCCTCGAATCTAGCCATTTCAAGCACTCATGTTCGTTGATTCCAGCCTTACTTCCTCTCTCAGCTATATCTTGGAAACATCTGTTGCATAGTGAAACTGGGCCAATACACCATACCTTCTTATCTTTCACCTTCGCAAGTTCTTCAACATAGTGACGCTCTAACTCCTGGAAACTATTGACAACAATCCCGTTTGCAGCTTCTTCTGCTACACGCACTCGTTCTAACATGTTCGCCATGTGTTCGTTGTCTTTCCTTCCCCAACTCAACCCTTGAGCTTTGGTGAGCTCAATCCGATCAGAAATACCAGGAAGCACAAAGTACTCTGAATCGGAGACCATTTCATGTAGTATATTAGTATTCATCAGAATATGTATGCAAACGAACGTGAAGCATCCAGGGCCATGGAAAATAAGCCTTGGAATACCCAACCTTCGAGCTATATCATTAGTCCAAGGAAAAAGATTATCGGAAATGATGCAACTTGGAGCCGGAGTTAGTCGCCGGAGCATGTTATCGACCGGTTCCTCTAACAAATCAGCCGCCTGAAACAGTTTGACATAGAGGGCAGCAGATGGGATCATGTCAAAGCTCTCACATCCCTCCGGCAATCCAACTTCAGCTAATTGGAGTGGGAATTCATGAAGTTGAATCTTGAGTTTATCTTCGATTGCCCGAGCAATGACCGGTTTGAAACGGTTGGCGTTAACGGGAGTAGTGATTATGGTAACTGTAGCGCCACGTTGGGCTAGTAATCGGGCAATATCCACCATGGGTATCATATGGCCTTGAGCCATTAAAGGAAACAAGACAAAATGAAGGTCTGTGTGTAGGGAAGCCATTGGTGTTTCGGAATATAGTTTTGCTGGTTCCCTGTGAATTAACTACTGAGAGGAAGTTTTATTTTTATGGGCGATGTTTTTCAAGATCCACCGTCTGCTATGCATGTGGATGGTATCTTCTTCCATATCGCTCCAAAAACGGAAACTGCTATCCATCTCATCCTCCAAAAGACTAATTATTAAGTAAATATATTTTTTACCGGATAATCTTTTACTCTTCATATAGGTAATCATGTTAATATTTTTTTTGTTGACAATAGTTATACAGAACATACAGTTAGTTATTTGACAGCAGTTGTATTATACTTTGCATTGTATACTCTATACCAGTGGCGGATTTATATTGGATCCCGGGATATCCCTCAAAAAAATTTTAATAGTGTTAATTTTTTCGGAGAAATTCGTTTTATATTGCGGTTTTATATCGGGAAAAAAATTGGGCTACCGTAAAAATTTCAGGTTAACTAATCATCTTCCTTAATAAATGAAGGTTTTTTTTTACCACATATCAATCTCTCATTAGTTTTGACACTTATCATTTTGTGGTATTTTTAAAATAAATATTATCCACTTGTTAATTTTTGATTTGTTTTAATTTTTAAATTTAAAATCATATACTTATATACATAAAGTATTATATATATATATATATATATATATATATATATATATATATATATATATATATATATATATTAAATTACAATAAATAAGTTTCTTCTTGTACATTAAAAAATATTTATTATTCACACAGGTCTAACACCTACTTATTTTCATATAGTTTCTTTACACCCACAAAACCGCTTATCGTGGTTTTATACGTTTTTATTTTACCAAATTTCCATCCACTAACTGATTTCGGACTAGGCTCAGCCCAAATCAATTAAACAATCCCAATTTCAAATAACCACCTCTAAGGTAGGCATGCAAAAACCATTTTTTTTTTCTGAACCGGAGCGAGATTCAGAAAACCGATTCGGTTCCGGTTAAAGTAGTCAAAACTGGTTCGGTTCCAAACCGGTTCAGCCCCAAAAATATCCGAACATATGTAAACCGGTTCGGTTTAATAGAAATCGGTTCATCAAAAACCGTTCAAAACCGGTTCGACGAAAATAAGCTTTTCTATTTTTTTTTTGGGCTTTTTTTTTGGGCTAATAAGTTCAAAACCAGATCAAAAAACCGGTTCTTATTAAACCAGTCCTAACGATCAAAATAGCGAATTAGTCCGATCCGGCGGTTCGGTTCATGCGGTTTCTAGTTTTGCAAAAACCGCAAAAAACCGAACCGTACCGAAGATATATATATATATATATATATATATATATATATATATATATATATATATAGAGAGAGAGAGAGAGAGAGAGAGAGTTAGGTTCAAATGTTTTTAACAACTATTGTGTGCCTAAATGCACCAATGAGAATTCAAGAAATAATAAATAATTAACTAAATCATTAAAGGGTATTTTGGACCTTTTGTACTTTTATTTAAGGAAATTATTTAATTGAAATAATTCAATTAAGGAAATAAACTAATCATTCCATTAAGGAATTAAACTAAATAGCTTGATTAAAGCGTCTGTTTCTGTCTCCACCTTCAGTTTCTCGAATTCCAGAAAACAACGCTCATTCAAAACCCTAATTTCCCAATCTATATTGGCTTCTACCTCACCGGTAACACGCCATACATCCATCTTCTCCGTGGCAACATCTTATTCATCTTCATTAGGTTCCGCCACCTCGTTTCACGGTATGTGCTATGTCGTCGGACACAACATCGACACCAACCAAATCATCCCCGCTGAGTACCTAACCCTGGTCCCATCAAAACCTGATGGATACAAGAAGTTAGGATCCTACACTCTCATCGGACTCCCGGTGTCGTACGAGACTCGATTCATTGAGCCAGGGGAGTACCAGTCAAAATATTCGATCATCATCTGTGGAGATAACTTCGGTTGCGGCTCCTCACGAGAACACGCTCTGGTGGATCTGGGGGCCACTGGAGTAGCGGCGGTGGTGGTGGAATCATACGCGAGGATATTTTTTAGGAATTCGGTTACAACAGGAGAGGTTTACCCATTGGAATCAGAGGGTAGGATTTGTGAAGAGTGTAAAACTGGAGATACAGTGACGATTGAGCTTGCACAAAGCCTTCTGATTAATCATACAATAGGGAAAGAGTATAAATTGAAGCCGATTGGTGATGCTAGACCTGTGATCGAAGCTCGAAGCTGGTGGAATCTTTGCCTATGCTCGAAAAGCTGGGATGATTCCTGCTTAGAAACTTGAGGTATTGATCACATTCATTAGTAACTAAATCTCAATGTGTTAAATTGCAAATTGGTATGTGCTAACCCTCAATTTGGGCATGAATTTTGTTGTTTGGTGGTTTATAAACTAGAAAAAACAATAGCTTGATCAAATTAGTTAGGTATTTGAATGTTCAATGTCAAGAGGTTATTATGAAACTTAGAATCAAAAATCACACAACAAGATAATCGGTTCCTTTAAGCTATTGTTAGGCAATGTATTTTTATCTAGGGTTTTCTGGAACTACTTAGCTATGCAACTCGCATCACTCTTGATCATAATTATAATGCAGAATCAGAACATAATCATAATGAGTTTATCTGCTCATCAAAACATTAAAAAAGTTAATTAAACTGAATAAACATTGATCCTAAAATGTTAGTATCAGTATAACTTTCTCAATTGGTGAATTGTCTTCATGTTATTTGATGTTTGTTAAATATCTTCCTTAGGTGAATTGTCTTCATGTTATTTTAAAATTTCTGTAGTGATTAAATCATTAAAAACTATTTTGTTATCTGATATAGCATTCTACTTTTGCATGTATGTTGGTTGTGGAAAAATTGTTAGGCAATGTACATGGATAATGTTTGTGGAAAAATTTTGAGACAACTTTCAACCAAATTAATTTACTCTTTGAACCTTGTGGTATGCATCCTAAATCAAATATTTTGCTGGAAATTATGTATTCTACCAGAATAGAATCGATATATTCTGCCAGAATGTATTATATGTATTCTGTCATATTCTATTTATTCTACCATAATATATTAAGTGATAGTTAATTGCAAGTAACATGTTTTTAACAATTATTAGTTTTTGTTGTATTTGTGATAGGAATGGCTGGAAGAAGACGTTGAAGACCTTCATATTCTTTTAGAATATGTATAATTATATTAAAATATATAAGGATTTTAGTCTGTAAGAATATGTATGAATTTGTATTTAAGTTCAGATGTATAAGAATATATTAGGATGTTTGTTATTTTTCAACATCTGATTCAAGAATTTTGTTTTTCTTCAATGATATTCTATTAGAATAAAATTCTGAAAGCGCATTATTCTAACAAATTAATATTCTATTATAATAAAATTCTGAAAGAGCATCATTCTAACAAAAAATATTCTGACAGAATATAATCGGTAAAATTTGAAATTGAATTAATTAAAAAATTCAGATTTTTTAAATTAGGAGAATTAATTATCCCTAAAAATCCGAAAATTTCCTTTTATAAATGTAGTTAATTGTCCAAAATACCCTTTTATTAAAAATTGTGTGATTATATGGTACATATTACTCAATTGTAATATCATACACTCTCAAATCATATCCATTGATTAATTTCATCCATTGGTCCAGATCTTTGCATTCTGGCACACAATACTTAGTAAAAACAAAATAACCTAAACCTATATATATATATATATATATATATATATATATTAAGTATTGATATTTATTAGAATAAGAATAAAGAACTCATGACAATTAATGTTTTTATAAATATAGATATCTATCTTATGAAAGGATGATTATATATTTTTAAGCATATATAGTGATATTGACAAGAACAAATAATCTTTATTATATTTTTTAAGATTTGAATATGAAGAGTACTAATGATGATAATATCATTTTTATAAATATATTAATTGATATTATCACATGTACTTGTAAAACAAATATTATATTTTATGCATATTATATTCTACTATTAAAAACATGTTGGATGAGTGGTTATGTCATTTGAGTTCAAACTTTGAATTCAAAACAATAAGTGGTGGTATCGATTCATCTCTATATAAAATTTCTCAAGAAATGATTAATACTCCTCATCTGAGTCAAATTAACTCGTTGAGTTACCAGAGTTTTAGTAAAAAGGTAAAAGAACACCCAAAAAAACTGAACCACAAAAAAAAAACCGAACCGCAAAAAACCGAACGGTGCGGTTTCTAAACTTCAAAAAACCGAAGTTGCGGTTTTCGGTTCGGTTTTAGCTGAAAACCGTACCGAACCGCACCATGCTCACCCCTAAGTGAGAGTGTGTTGGACAAATTTTTTCAATTTACAGTATTAGTTTTCAATTTTTTTTCTTTTTATTCCATAATTTATCACAAATTCTATATCTTTTATTTTTATTAAAATTTCTATATTATCCCTCAACTTTAATAATATCTCATTTGTTCACCCTTTAACTTTTCTTCTTTATAACTTCATACAAACTTTTATTTTTATACAAACCTGAATTTGGTTCTTATAATTTTTTTAGAACTGCAAAGATATTATTAGAACACTAGAAAGAAGGTAGAAAAAAACAAATCATATCATAATACAAGAAGGATTTTGGCTCCAAACCATCGGGTAAAACTTCTTCATAATCCTACTAGAACTCCAAATAAGAGATTGAGATACAATCTCATCAGATATAAGGTTTTTCTTTGAAAGTTTATCCTCAAAAATCAATTTATTCCTAAACTTCCATATACACCACTAAGTGGTTGGTAGTTGTCAAGGTTAACAAAATAAATAACCCTAAAGTTTGTACACTAAAATAGTGTATAGTGGTAAAAGCATAGAATCCACGAAGATTTGTTTAATTTGTTACTCAATGCAAATCTATATATAAAATACTTATAAATGACAATAAAAGTAAAATGGGAGTTTTAGTCTTTTGATATCTTTAAAGAAAACTAGAGTAAAACTAAGATTTAAAGAACATAATTAAACAAAAACAAGAGTTTGATGTAAAATCAATGAGAGAAAGATGATTAACTTAAGGCTTCATCACTTGAACATTTGGTAAATATATCTTTAGAATCCAAATTGCAATATATGTCTTAAATCTCTAATTTCGATGTAGTAATCCAAGAAGCTTGAGATTACCGAGACTTTTCTTAGTTATTAAAATAGCTAGAGAAGTTCGTAAAATATTTCTTTAGTTAAAGTCACAATTTTCATTAAGCATATAATTAGTGAAAATTAATTAGAATTAAAAACCAAAAAGTCACCAAAACCAAGAGGAGTTAAATGCATTCATTACCATGTTAGAAAAATGTTTTTATGATTGTGTGAAGTGATAACTAACACAAGAACCATTTTGTAACATCCCAAAAATACAGATAAAATTTGTGTTTTTAAATTCATTCAAATCATCGATACTAGTAACAAAATAGACAAAAGTGTATCATTGCAACATGTTATCAGAGTACAAATTCCCAAAATCTCAAAATGCAGAAACCTTAAGGCGATGTTGTGCGATCAGGTCGGGTCATTCCCCTTCGAACTGGAAGTACCTGAAACATAAACCAAAAAGTGTAAGCACAAAGCTTTGTGAGTTCCCCCAAAATACCACATACTAAACAAACATACAGCCAAGCATATATGGGTGCTTGCTTACCCCTTCGGTCTGTTTCAACCAGATACTATCAAGCATATCTGGGTGCTTGCAATCCCCTTCGGTCTATTTTACCAGATATTGTCAAGCATATTTGGGTGCTTGCAATCCCCTTCGATCTATTTCAACGGGATATTGGGTCTATTTCACCCTTTACTAATACCACATTATATCATAACAAGAATCACAGAGTCATCAAACAAATACAAGCATAACTAACAATTATCACAAAGACAATCACATACTTTATCATAACTAGGTGATTGGCATTGGTGCCTTCAACCCATAGATACAGGAAGGAACACTTACCTCTCGATCGATAATCAACTATCGCTGCTCTCACAATCAGCTACATCGGTGCTACTCCACATCTAGATAATCATGCAAGGCAAACCTTAGATCTGCCCTTCACGTCGTGACCACTAAGGCTCACATCGTAAGGATAGACTCGACCCGTACCCACTCAGCGGGTCGACTCAGTTTCACTTATCCAACGGGATCCTCATATCGGGACAACTACCTGGCTCACGTCGTGAGGTTCTATTTCTTACATCGTGAGATTGGTTCTAACCAAATTTGAGCATTAAGCGCTTAATCCTTTAAGAACTACATTAGGACTTTCCAAAACACCTTCCTCGACCCTAAGGACCATAGAAACTATAGCTTTTCAGTCATGCATGACCAATTCACGACTTAGGTACTAACTAGGTCAAAAGAAGGGTATTAAGATCAAGACTCAAGATTAGAGCCTAAAACCGACACCAAAACTCAGATCCAAGGACTCACATACAGAAGATGTCTCAAGGATCCATAAATTTGCCAACTTTATAGATCTTATGCATGTTAAACAACCCAACCATGCAAAGAAAGGTTCTAAAGTTTACATCTATCATGCTTAGGGCAAAAAGATAAGAGATTTATGACTTATAAATGCTCAAAATCTCAGAAAATCCAAGAGGTGGAAGCTAGATTGCTAAAATGAAGCACCAAAAGAGCCTTCTTCCACTTCAAAGAACCAAAAACCTCCAAGTAAGCTCTTCAAAATCACCAACAATGGCCCAAAGTCTCAAGGAAGTCGAAGTTCGGGTTTTCAAGGGGCTAGAGAGTAAGAGAGGTTGAGGATGGGCGATCCTATCCCTCTCATTCCATTAAATACTCAAAAGTTAGGGTTTTGGGTCATCAGACCTGGCTCACATCGTGAGACCTTATGCATCACGTCGTGAGGTTCGAGGATACATGTCAAATGGTCAATAAGAATTCTCATGTCATGTCCACTATGGCTCACGTCATGAGCCTCCTCCAAAATGAAAAACTTCAAGAATTTAAGTACCTCAAGGATTCGGATCCTACACATTTATTGCTTGGTATTTTGAAGATTCATTATTTAATCAAGAAATTAGACAACTAATCACTACATGAACATCTAAACTCATGATAAAGACATATAAGTAGCAAGAAGAAGTTAAGATGTAAAACACTTCCATAAAGATCTAAGAACAAGTTCATGGAGTTCTTTAATATTCAACCAAACATACAAGCAAATCTACAAAAGTCAATCAAGATTAGTTTAGCATAGCATGGCTA